CAGGTTTTGTCCTCATTTGGGAGCCCTGATGGTGCAGTGGTTAAGAGCTCAGCTGTTAACCAAAAGGTCGGCATTTCAAATCCACCAGCCACTCCTTGGAAATCCTATGAAGCAGTTCTACTCTGTCTTATAGGATCTCTATGACTTTGAATTGACTCAGCGACAATAGGTTTGGTTTGGTTTGTCCTCATTTACTTGATCTTTTAGTAGTACACTAAAAATCTCACCTTATCATCTTTCTCAAAATATTCTCTTCTCAGGTCCTGTGATTCTACATTATCTTGTTTCATCCTAATACCCTGGCTACTGCTTGGCATGTTTTTCTATGGCTTTAGAGCTTGGTCCCAGTCCTTCTTTACTTCCCTTCTACTCTCTTTTTGGTAATCAAATCTAGCCTCATATATATTTGCCTTCTATATACTACTATTGCTTAAGCTATAGGTCTACCCTTGAGATCTAAGATCTAGGCTTGAGTATACCACTGACTCCTTAACACCTATATTTGTATCTCTTACAGCCATCTCAGACTTAACATGACTAAAATTGAACCCACAATTTAACATCCTCAGTGTCTATCAAGTTGTGTAATCTAGAAATCTAGTTATCAGTTTTGAGTCCTTCCTATCTTGATTTTCCACTTTCATTTCCAAACTTTTTAGTTATAATTCTAAAATATACATTAAAGCCACTCACTACCTTTCATCTCCATTGAGACTACAATATTTTAAGCTACAATAATCTCTAACTTGAACCACCATAATACCTTTCTAAAGGGTCTCCTTTTTTCCAGGCTTTTCCCTACCAAATCCCTTCTCTACATAAAAAGCAAAATTTTTGGCTTAGATATAAATACAATAACATTTTTCCTTCTCATTCCTTAAGTCTTCACTCAAATCTCATTTGTTCAAATAGGCCTTACTGATCACGCTATCCAAAGAAGGCCTTACGGTATCTGAGTTTTCTTTCTTACTTTAGTATTAATTTCACTCATACTTACCAAAATTTAAATTTTTTGTATTTATTTATTTATGAGTTTATTTGACTTTGTTTTCCTCCCCCAGAATATAAACTCAATGAGAGAAAGGACCCTGTTTGTTATCATTATTGTATCCCCAGTACACAGCACCACACCCAACATACGGAAGGCTTTAAATAAAGCTTTCTATATGAATGCATAAACCTCTTCTGGCTCATCTTGTAATTCTATAAAGTTGGATCAATAATTTTCTAAGCACCACTAATTACAGAATCATATCTGCATTATAGTCTTATTAGATTATATTCAGTAAAATTTTGACAATTGATTACAGCTGTTACAGAACCGTTTAACTCTAATCAATATGTATTATTGAGTGCCTGTCTTATGCAATCAACAACAATCAAGGCACAAAATGGTAATAATGTAAGGATCTGATAGTTTTAGATTTATCCGATGTAATAACTAATAAATGATAGTAGTTGTTAACTGGTTTGAATGAACTCAGATGGTTTAAAAACTATTCTTGCTAAGCAAGTAAAAAGAGTTTCAATTTAGAGTTACAATAAACCAACAAAACCAAACTCGTTGCTGTCAAGTCGATTCTGACTCATAGTGACCCTACAGGACAGAGTACAAAGAAAGTAAATTTTTACCAATACATAAAAGCTCTAAAACAAAACTCATATATCTGTGTGTGATACATATAGACACACAGATTGGGGTTTGAGATTTATAGCTAGAACTGCAATTAAAAATTGGAAATTATTAAGGATAACTTAATTGGATATTTTGTTAAAAACTTTTCAGAAAAATATGTCCCAATCAAGGAAAAAGATATGATTATTGATGAATAAAATCATAAGCATGTTTATCTTAAACATTCTCTTTTTCATAATAAAGAAAATGTCAAAAATGGTATTTTATGTTCACTTCTGAAAATCAGGTTGATCAGATGAACCATTTGTTTTGCTCAGGAATATTTAGTTCTTTAATGGTAAAAATCTAAATCGGTACTTTTAAAGTCTTTTGCATTTTTCGAAACATTGACCTATTTTATAGTGTTCGTCATCATGTACTTTGCTGCACAGCATTTCATACTAGAAATGATAAATTGCCAGAAAGCATGTACAGTTGTTGCATAATGCTATCATATTCTGTTCTGACTACTAAAATTCAAATTTAGAAATCTCATTATGCTTTACATGTAGATTGAATCATGTCAGTCTTTAAAGTTTTAAATTATTTAATTTTCTTAAAGGAAAAAAAGTTCATCCACTTTGTATAGCCCAGGGGTTATAAAATCTTAAGCATTTCTAACTATAAATAACTTACTCTGCATTTTAAATTTCAATTTGCAATCATAATTAGCATTCCAACCATTTTTCACAGATTACAGAAGAGCATTCCCCTCATAACTTCCAAAAAAATATTGAAATTATCTCTCTCTGGAATAGACTTAGCTCACTGAGTAATATTTTTCTTCTGATACAACATAATTCCTGCCCTTTACAGGGATGGAAATGTTCCAATATATTCAATGTTTGTGAATCTGCTTTTCAGACATCCTGCTATTATATGGCTAACTTCTTCCACTTGGTTCATTTACATTTCATGGCTTATTTCACATGTTGTAACTAAAGTATCCATTGTTTGATTTGTATATTTTTTTCTCCTTTGCATATTGATTCAGAGACAGGAATCAATATGCCATAATCAGCCTGGGGAATTTCATTTTCCTTTTTCAAGGGGTGGGGAAGTCTCAGGTCAGTATCATTTAATTTTTGTCTCAAAAATTAGAAGATGAAATAGCATACACAGTGAACTAACGGATCACTATCTGGTGATTGTTATATTTTACACGGCAGCATACATCATAAGCACAGAGAGGCAACCCTCCAGACACAAGCTGAACTGATTGCAGATAAACAAATACAAATTGTCCAGGTAATAGCTGGATAAATATACACAATGTTTTCAGATGAGTAATCTGAGACTCAGAGAAGTGTCAAGTCTCTCAAGTTAAAGTCTAAGTTTTGCCACATTACAGCTGTATGGTCATGGATAAGTCATCTAATTGCTCTAGAACTCACATTTTTCATTAAAGTAAGGTGATAATGGATTTATTCTATCTTTATAATATTAACATGTCAGTACTTCAAAAAAATTAGGAAACAAAGTTGATAATAAAATAATTGCCTTCATCACTGTAATACTGAAGTGATTTTTATAATATATTGGCAGGAATTTATACAGAATGCTTAGTGGTTTAGAATATGATGCTAAAACATATGGCTGAGATGTTCCAAACTTATAATCATAGTTAGCTATAATGGGCTTCTTGGTAGAGAATGTACTCCTATTTTTTACCCACTTTTCTTCCTCGTGAATGATGTTAGTCATGGGTAAGGGTAAGAAGAGAGAAAAACAAAAACAAAACCAACAGAAAGTCTACAAGTCATCACTACCACTAAATGAGCAAATGAACTTTCATATCCTATTGTAAGAAGGCTAATCACTAGCTTATATATTAATTTGAAATTAAATTAGTTTATATATATGTATATGTATGTTTGATATAGTTTATATATGTATATATATAAACTAATTTAATTTTCAAATTGTCTCATGAGATAGAACTAAAAATACCCTCAACTAAAAAGATGAGTAAAATGAATACACAGAAGCTAAAAGGCTAGGAAGTGCCAGGGACAAGATTCAAATCCAAGCAATCTAACTCCAGAGTATATATTCTTTATCACTTAATTAACAACAGAAATATCACGGGGGCAATGTTTTTGCAAAGTAGACTTCTGTTTGAAAGATAAAGGAAGCTGAAGTTAACCAGGACTCTGAGTCAGCCTTTTGGTCTGATAGACAGGTGGACAATTACATGTGAGTGAAGGAGAACAGAGTGAACTGCTGATGACCTTGGCTCTGGCCTAGAACTGTTGTTGATAGAAGTAAAGCTATTATTTAACATGGCTTTGGGGGAGGAGGTGTTAATAAAACAATTCTGTTATATACGGACTTTTACTTACAGCTAATTTAATCAAAACCTGAATTTGAAACTAATATTGCTTCTTATAAGATCAGTTATTTCTAACTACTACTGATAAAATTAAAATATATTCCAAATTTTCATCAATTAGTATTCAGGGAATTAAATCTTTACAGTAATTGTCACTGCAAAAGAAGTAGTGAGGGCTTCCAGATAGGTACTGCTGATACTTTTCAAACACAAAATTTGAATAGCATCCTGCTGTGTTAGCACTTGACTTTTTGGCTGTAGGGAATGGGACAGACACCATAAAAATAAGTATTTATCCATCATTTTTCTCCCAGGTTACTTCAAAATGTACAATACAGAATAACTTGACATGCTCTAAAACAAAAAGGGATATTCTACAACAAAAAAAATCTAAACAAATGTTCTAGTTTATTTTTCTCAAAAGGAATAACCATGATAATCAACATGTCCTTCATATGCCAGCAAACAATATTGCTCTGTTGCAGATGTTCCCTGTGATATAGTTATCAGCAGTCAAAAGAAACGGTTACACTATTGAGTTGATCTCTTGCTCTAGGAGAGAAGTACATTTCTGATACTGTTAAAAATGGAGCGATTTCCTGTGCATATTTTTGACAGTTTACATTCTAATCTAAAAATATGAGTGATGGTTCTCAATTCCACCTCATGATGAAAAAGGCTCATGTTCATAATATATTTAAAAGCACTATAAAATATGAAATGTTTTAGAAATTTTCGCTATTATTCATTACCATTCTTATACAACTAAGGCAATTGCATTAAAGGAAAAATAACATCATGCAATTAAAGTAAATTATGTGCAGTTATAGAGAATAAGTAAGTAGGAAAAAGTTTCATTTGTATATGAGAAGAAGATCTGGAGGAATGATTGGCTATGATAATTCTTTCCAACGGTCAGATATTATGGTAGATAGATAGGAAAAAAAAAATAAAGAAAGTGGGCGGTAGGAACTTTCAATATTATTTACTTACAATCAAGCCACTGTTCGCATGCCTTTTTTCTCTGCCACGGATTCTTTTGTAGAAAATTCCGCCTGGATTAAACTGAGTACTCCAGATAATCATATCTCTTTGATAATATACATCCATCCCTGTTATCCTTGAATTATGTTCAATATGAGAAATTTGTTGATGATCGCCACTGTAGTTGAATGGATATATAAAACCCAGGATATCAGTGTCATTAGCAATGTAGAGAACTTGATCTTCAGAGCCTGGAGATTATTATAATGAAATACAAAAATAAAGTAAATTTCAACTAACGTAAAGGCAATCAAAATACTTTCAAATTATTTTGAGTTTCTATTCTTACACATTTTCTTGCTCAATAAAAATCAACCAACTTGATTATTGTCTTTTATTATTCATGACTTATGATTTCTAATACCCATTTACCTACCTAAACATTGCTAGTTATTGTAGATTTTTCTAGTGCAAAGTTTATGTTACGGCTAGAAATTAAGTATTTGTAGAAGGCACCCTTTTTATCGAGAGGGCTTACTATATGGTAAGTGGCAGTTAACTACATTCTAATACTTTCATTCTCAATATCTAGATACTATACTGTGTACGCATTAAGCTTCAAATGTTTCTGAGCATTTAGTTTATGTTCATGAGTGGCCATTACAATAGGCTAAGAAATGAAAATTAACATAGGCTGAGTCTACTTTTTCCAGTAATCATATATCTTAAATGCTATTTTATCTGTATTACACAAGGATATCAGAATGTATCACATTAAAATGCTATAATATCATTATCAAAAATCCTGTTAAGTGGAACTTTCTATCCGGAAGAGTGGATGCCTTAATACAATATTGATGTTATTTCTATATTGAAAAAAGTAATATTCTGAAATGAATCCTGAAAATATTAATGAAACCTGAAGTTCTTAAATAGAGATTATAGTGTGTACATAGTATCTGCAAATTAAAAAAAAGAGGTATATTTCAATTCTATAGTCTTAATCGTTATCACTTAGAGACCATCTACAGTGACAGACACTGCTCTAAGCCTTTCAGAGCTTATCTCCGCTTTTTATAACAACCATGGATAGTAGGCATTAGTATCCCTATTTTACAGATGAGAAGCTGAGGCTCGGAGAGTTTAAAAAGTTCCCCAAAACCATATAGCTAGAGAATTGTAATGCTGAGATTCAAATACAAGTGCATCTGACTCCACAGCCCACATCAAATCCACTACACCATGATGTTTCTTTCTTGTAATAACACCATCTGATTAGTAAGGTCCAACCATACCCTGCAGCTAGCAAAAAATTACAATATTGTTCTGGTAAGAATATATGAACATTTTATCTATACCTAAAAAAGTGCACCTACCATATATGTGATTTAATTATATACATATATATTTGTCATGAAGGAGGTCTGAATTTGAAAGCATGATTTTGTTTTAAAACTATTAAAGCCATAACTCAACATTGCATTCTCATTATAACATTAACCTTCAACCTTTTATTTTTATCTCAGTGGCTTAATAATTTTTCACATACACTAGAACCAAAAAACCAAAACCCATTGCCGCTGAATCGATTCAGACTCATAATGACCTGATAGGACAGAGTAAAACTGCCCCATAGGGTTTCCAAGGAGCAGCTGGTGTATTCGAACTACCGACCTTTTGGTTAGCAGCCGAATACTTATAACCACTGCGCCAGGAGGGCTCCATGTGCACTAGAGCAGACCCTAAAAAAAATACTTTATATTTTATCACACAGACTTAAACTTTTACCCCTCTGGCAAATTGTTTCAAACACAAAGTGATTTTAACAGTAACCATGCATTTGAGAGTCACCTCTAGAAACCATCCCAGGTTAGATTAATTAACAATGAGAGCAACCCAGCTAGCCAAATTAATCAATATTACAAAAGAGAGTTATAAGAATAGGAATGAAGCTATTGCTAAAATGCAATACACAACTTTGTTTTTCCATAAGAATTTTAAAGAAAAATTATAGTAGTGTTTATCCCAATGATGGCCATAACCTTACCTTTTGCTATGCAGGTGTTATTTCTTTCTTCAAAATTCTGGTCACACACACATTTATATGATCCTTCCATATTAACACATTGGTGGGAACACGTGCCAAACACCAAACATTCATTAAGGTCTAGAACAGAAAGAACTGAAAATAGTATTATCATACCCCAATTAACACTTTCATTCCTTTCACATTTCTAAATAGCCAATTTTTTTTAATTCCTTGAACTTATTATTACTATTTCTTTCATTGTCCTTTCAAACTTTTAAGTCCCTGACTTGCTGTACAGTATGTTTATACAAAAAACCAAATCAAGCCCATTGCTGTCAAGTCGATTCCAACTCACAGCGACCCTGTAGGACAGAGTAGAACTTCCCCTTAAGGTTTCCAAGGAGCAGCTGGTGGATTCAAACTGCTGACCTTTTGGTTAGCAGCTGAGCTCTTAACCACTAAGTCACCAGGGCTTCGTACAATATGTTTAGGCCATAATAATTTTTTAAAATAGTTTCACTATAATAATTCATCAATTGATTATACATTGCTTGTTAATACACTTAAAACCTTAAAATATCCCTTTCAAATTTTCTAGTATTTTCATTCACTCCAATAAACCCTTCCTGAAGTTTTCTTTTAAGCCTCCAATTATCTACCTCTACACCTTTGCACTTGTCATAGGTTATTCCTTTGTCCTCTAACGTCCTTGCCCTCCTTTCCATAGAGAATTTCTTTTCATCTTTGAATGCGTACCCGAAGTGAATCCTTTCTTTCCTTCTTGGACTAGTATACAGTCGTGACTATCTCCTTAGTTTCTCCATTTTTTACTTTCTTAGTGTTTTCGTCTTATAGAATTTCTTATGCAATATTACAGATATGTGGTCATACATTCATCTCCCCTCCATGATTGTCAGTCATTGAAGACAGAAATTCTGATTTATTTATTATTTATTTCCAGCAGTTTTACAATGCCTGGCAGATAATGAAGACATGAATGCACCTCTAACACACATCTGGCTTCATATACATGAAGTGACTAAGTAACAAAAAGGGCTGCACTGAAGCTATATGAATAACTTTTATTCATGTATAAATAAATATATATATATATAAATATATATAAATCACAAGCAATAGGCAATATTCTGTGTATTGGCAAATGTCTCTGACTTCAGTGGCTTCTGTAGGATCAGGATTGAGGTCAGGTGATTCTGATGAATTATCTCCTCTCTTCGTTGCTTCTTTACTTTTTCTTTCGACTAGTATTTGTACTATGTCCCCCTTATCACCCATGTTGTTGTTAGATGCCGCTGCAGCGATGTTTGACTCATACTGACCCCTTGTGACAGACAAGAACTGCCTCATAGGTTTGTCTAGGCTGTAATTTTTATGGGAGCAAATCACCAGGTCTTTCTCGCATGGAGCTGCTGGGTACGTTTGAACTGCCAGCCTTTCGGTTAGCAGCCCAGCGATTAACCATTACACCATCGGGGCTCATTTTATCACCCATAGTTGCACTAATTGTGTAATAAAGTTGTGAGATAAATCCATCACTCCTTGGATTAGAGAATTTAAGAATAAGGACGGTGATAATAATTATCTTTTGTTTCACACCCAACAATCTTCCAAGAGCTCAATGGTGATGATAAGGACTTCCCAGTGACAACTGTAAATAGCAATGCCAAGGCTTAAAAAGCCTTTGTGATTCTGTTGTTTTTAATGTGATATCTCGCCCAAGGAGAACTTAAGCATTCTCATAACAACTCATTTCTGTGTCTGATTGAAAAGTAGGGGAAAGGTATAAAGAAAATTTGTTTTTAACTAATATTGTTTTTAATTAACATTATATAGAGATGAAGTGAAATATGTGTTAGTAGCACTTGGCCATCAGAGTATTATAACAAACATTTCTGATTTATTAGACACCTGTAACTCTAAATAGAGCCCTGGTGGAGCAGTGGTTAAGAGTTTGGCTGCTAACCAAAAGATCAGCAGTTCAAATCCATAAGCCACTCCTTGGAAACCCTATGGGGTAGTTCTACTCTGTCCTATGGGGTCGCTATGAGTCGGAATTGACTCCTTTGCAATGGGCAATGAGTATTAACTCTGAACAGGTAGTTATTTGTTACCATGGTTTCCTTTATGTATGTAATCAAAATAAGCAAAAATCTGCATGATTTGACACAATCTCAGTTCCTTCAAATGCTTCCTTAACGGCTGGAATCACCATTTTTCTCCTCAACTTTACAATAATACCTGCATCATGAGCTTTTGAAGAGAATGGAGCAATTTCACTCATGCCCAGGGCCTAGAACAGTGCCTGGTACTCAGCAACTCTCAATCCCTTTCTACTTCTCTTCTGCTATTCCCTTTGATTTTTCTTCCCTTTATGTATTCCAACTGAAGTGTTTGGACTTCAGTATCAAATTTCAATTTCTTATACTTCTTTTGAAGTACATTAATGAAGGGCACAACCAAATTCAGATTATTTGGACTACAAGATCCAGATAATATTTTTCCCCTCCTTCACACTAAGTCAAAACTGTTTTCTTTATTATGAAAACTTCATTTATTAAGTAAAGATGTAGCTTTTTCTTGAGTTCAGAAGTTACGCATTTGCCCAATAAAGTATATAAAAATAGTGCATTCATGGCAATTTAAAATAAAATGTAGCTTGTAGATTGTATTTGCCATGGAATAAAGTTTAAAATATCAAAATTCTTGATAATAATATGTCTAACTTTAGTAAATATAGAAAGGAAACAGAGACCACTATTCATCAATAAATATTAGAATATCGATATTGGAGTTAAAATCTTCAACAGATGTGTGTGTGTATGTTAGGCTATATACAAGTGATGAAAATTGCCTGAGAAAGAAGAAATACTGTAGTCTTGATAAATAATTTGGTTTTGTTTATTATTAAAATAGAGAAGGTTCAGGTTATCAGCTTTCATTGTTCATGTTAATGGGGAAATAAAATGTCAAGAATAATCCAAACAAGCACATGTACTTAAATGTGATATGGCTACAAGTTTCTTCCCCTTTTAGGTGAGTATAATTACTTTATTGTAATAATTCCATTTTGATTGACAATGCAAAATCATTTTTCTTTACCCAAGAATATCATAAAGAGACAATGTAGAAAGAAGTTGACAGGTGAAACATTCTAGGGCTTCTATTCACCCTAGGTAAGCCAGACATAGACAGTATAGGTTTGACTGTAATCACAATAAATAAAATCAAACCAGTTGCTATTGAGTTGATTCCAACTCTTGGAGACCTCATGTGTGAGGTAGAACTGTGCTCTGTAAGGTTTTCAATGGCAAATTTTTCAGAAGTAGATCACCAAGTCTTTTTTTCTGAGGCACCTCTGGGCAGACTTGGACCATCAACCTTTCAGATAGCATCTGAGGGCATTAACCATTGGTACCACCCAGGGGCTTCAATCAGAAAAATAGATGATCGTAAATATTAGTTTCAGTGGAGACATGTGCAGAAAGTGTACGTGGATCTATATTTCAGGGTCTATACTTAAAGCCCTGATTTAAATTATATTCACATATAACTTACTATGAGATTCTGGCTGTCCTACATACTCATTCTTTGAATGATCTCAAGTAAGTTTACAGAGATTTTTTTTCAGATATTGTCTTTGAATTTAAAAGGCATATCTTGATAATTTCAAACACTGTTTAAGACACAGCCTCAGGACAAAAGCCCACAATTCTCTAAATGTGAATTTCTTATTGCAATACAGCAAAATGCCACAACTTAGGAGAAATGGATCCTCACAAACACATTTTTTCATGAAGCGAGTCTAATTCTCCAATAGTTCCTGAACCAGCAATTTCTTTATTTGCATTTCAAAAGAGAATTGTTACAATACTGAAATTCCTGCAGGTCTGAATTCGCTGTAGAAAAGGCTTTGTAGCCTCAGTGATGGTTAGCATAGCAGTGCAAACAAACAGACTCTTGACCCCAGAGACTTTCACTCTCCTAAGTAAAATGGTATCCCGTAGATACACACCGTTTTGATGAAAATCAATCCCCTGTCATCTAGCAATTTAGCAGCCTTGGGAGTCTTTTTATAACCCAAAGATTTAAGAGCAAGCTGTTGAGGAAATATACTATACCTTCGCACTGTCTGTTTATCAAGTTTCTCTGAAATCCAGGCTTACAGCGACAGAAAACAGATGTTTTTATTTGATTACAATATGCATCATCTCCACATGGATTCACATTATCTTCACAGGTATATTCAGTTGGAGCTAGGATTTAAAAATATGATGAAAAGTAATATAATTCTAATTCCTGAAGTGGGAGTTCATATTTTTTTAATTTGAAAATGGTATTTATTATTCCTTAGATTACTCTTTCTGAATGTATAAGATTATGTCTTTCTCTCCATATAAGACTTCATTTCTTATAAAGATACAGAACCAGATAAACTGAACTTATTTACGTTTAATATCATTTAGACCAAGCTGCCAACAGCCGACACTTAATAACTGTCATCGAGCTACACTAATTTCTAACAGGAAGCCAAGAGTCAATACTTCTACTGACAGGCTATTTTTTTTTTAATGGTACTATGTATGATTACTACATCCTTCTTCAAGAATAGAATATATTCTAGAAGCTACTTAGAGATGTATTTATTTCTAACCTAAACTATACTGTCCATGGATTTAATCAAGGGCAGTACCACATTACTCAAGCTGGTAAACTAAACCAGCAGTTCTTAAACTATTTTAGCCTGGACACACATGTGAGGGACAACATTTGAGTGTTTAATGTGTTCCAAAGGTCATGGGCTGCAACACCGTTGGGATGGGCTATGGGTTATGTGTAATTTCCTGCATAATAGTGACAATTTCATTCTTGTCTATTCCATTTGGAAAAATATTTTGGAGTGCAAATAAATGAGAGGGGCATAGCATTGAATTTGCTCTAATTTACTTAAACAAATCAAATTATTGAGAAACATGAGAACTTTAAATTACTAGAGTTTTAACCATTACTAATCCCAAATGACTTTCAATATTTTACCATTAATTAAAATACACCAGTAGAATGATATCATGATTGAGACATATGTGGTCATATCCTGGTGGGAACTGTTTCACCACCCAGCGAGGGACAACTTAGATGTATACATGAGAAAAAATAAAATCCCTAAAGTAGGAAGTAGTTTGTGATTTTTATAAGCAATCTGAATTTAAGGTCATAAATTCAATTATTTTTATTTAATATGGAAAATCGAATATCAAGCATTAGCTAAACACAAAATTCTTAACAACCAGAATCTCACAATTCATAAAGAATCATAGCACTCTAACTGAACAAAATAATGACGTCTTCTTTAAGAATAATTCAAAAATGAATTAAATTTAAAACATTGCATAAATTATTAAGACCTTCACCATCATTCAACCAAATATATAATTCAAAGGGGCCCTGGTGGTGCAGTGGTTAAGGGCTCGACTGCTAACTTAAAGGTCGATTCGAGCCCACCAGCCACTCTGCAGGAGAAAGATGTGGCAATCTGCTTCCGTAAAGATTTATAACCTTGGAAACCCTGTGGGGCAGTTCTACTCTGTCCTATAGGGTCGCTATGAGTCAGAATTGACTTGACGGCAATGGGTTTAGTTATAATTCAAAACCACTAAATTTATATTTTATAAAATAAAATATTTAGAGATATAGTTTTGTTTTGTTTTTTTTTTTCTGATACCAAAGTCTGTATTTGAATACTGAGTTCTTAGCTTTAGTCCTAACAGGGTTAAAAAAAATAAAATCTGTTGCTATTGAGTCAATTCTGACTCATATTGACCCTATAGGACTGAGTAGGATTTCAAGGTAATAAACCTTTGCGGAAGCAGACTGTCACATCTTTCTCCCATAAAGCAGCTGGTGGGTTTGGACCTTTCTGTTAGCAGCCTAGTACTTAACCTTTACGCCACCAGGGCTCCTTCTAACAAGGGTACTCATTGGAAAATCAATCTTGTCCCTTCTGAAATTAAGTGATGTTCTAAGATTGTTTTCTCAAAGGCTTAAAAAACCGGAAGGATACAACTTAAGCAAGTTTTGAAGAGCAATCTTTCCACACAGTAGTCATGAAAAGTGTAGTCATGTTTAAGCAGAAATTGGACTTGTGTGTCACTGTACTTTGTTTAACAACAACAACAAACTCACTCATTCTGCAGCCTTGCTCATCTGAACCGTCTCCACAGTCATCAAGGCGATCACACTGGAGGTCCATGGGGATACATTTTTTATTACCGCAGGCAAACTCATCCTTTTTACAAGGTCTTGCTTTATATGTAAGCTTATCTAAAGAGTCAGTAGGAAAAATGATTAGTCCTTCAAAGAATCCAAACAAACTTACTGATCACTTAAAATGTTCAATATTTCCAAGATATGTTACTGAATGCTGTGGATAGCATGGGTCTATAACCCTTTATTTGAAGTGCTTGGAGCCAAATATATATTGGATTCAGGTTTTTTTTTGTTTTTTGTTTTTTAATTTTAGAAATGCAACCATGTATATACCCTGTAAAAAAAATACCCTATTTTAACAGGAAAATATTTGAATATTCACCCTATATTAGATTTTTAAAAAGTTATATAAATCACCTCAGATCAGTTTAGGTCAGGTTTTGTCATCAAATCAGTTTGCCACATACTTAAGCCTTTTGTTTCAAGAACTTCTTGAATTTCAGAATTGTACAAAAGATACTGTGACTGTATATAAATAACCTATATAATCTCCTTTTCCTCAAAGAGCTATGAGTTTGAGGGAACATTGTTAAACCACTATGTTGTTTCTCTCATCTATATACTATTTCCTCAAATAAAATACTTACCATCAACTGAGATTTACAGGTTAGCAGGGGTCTGGGGAGCCCTGGTGGTGCAGTGGTTAAGAGTTGGCCGCTAACCAAAAGGTTGGCAATTTGAATCTACCAGCCGCTCCTGGGATACACTATGGTGCAGTTCTACTCTGTCCTATAGGGTCACTAAGAGTCGGAATCAACTCAGTGGCAACGGGTTTGGTTAGGGACTCTGGACAGAGCTATACATCTTCACTACACAAATGATAAGTTAGCTGATTATCTGTCAGAAGATTGAGAGTCTGAGAGAAATATTCTCGAATATACCACCTGGAATATATTTTTATAACCTAAAATCATTACTTTATCTTACTGCATCACTGAATCAATTATTATAAATTAATTAGATTTACCACCACAGTGATTCTCATCTGAGTTGTCCCCGCAGTCATCAATCCCATTGCACATTTGCTCAAGCTGCAGGCATACTCTGTTATTTCTGCATCGGTAAGGTCTAGCGGGTGGGCAGAGAAATTTGACTGAAAAAAGAAAAACCAAAGCAGTTCCTTTGGATGCACTGACTTATGAAGAACTATACTTCTTTTGTCCTCCTTTCTTTTCCCCTTCCTTTTCAAATTTATAAGCTAGCTTTAAAAAATAGCATTTGTTGTGAACTTTAACTACTCATGGATGCCGGAAAAAAGTGTGATAATAGAAGCCTAAGATCATAGCTGTTTATATTAACTACAGAAAATAGTGCACAGCTGAGAATCTTGAATTAAATAACAAAAAGTCAAACTTCATGGTCTCATTTTCAAATGCCTTATCTTAGCGGACTTCACTTGGTGTACCAAGTTAATTTATGCCTACAATTTATACAACGTAGCAAGGCACTTAGCTATCTCAAAGAGCAATTTCATACAGCATAGATCTTGAGCAAGCATATGTTACAGGCCCAAAATTAAAAAGAGGCCATCTAGTGAAAAAATAACTACTTGTGGATACTGGAAAAATGTGTGATAATAGAAGCCTAAGATCATAGTTGTTTATATTAACTACAGAAAATAGTGCACAGCTGAGAATCTTGAATTAAGTAACAAAAAGTCAAACTTCATGGTCTCATTTTCAAATGCCTTATCTTAGCGAACTTCGCTTGGTGTACCAAATGAATTTATGCCTACGACTTATCCAATGTAGCAAGGCACTTAGCTATCTGAAAGACCAACTTCATACAGCATAGATCTTGAGCAAGCATGTTACAGGCCCAAAATTAAAAAGAGGCCATCTAGTGAAAAAATACTCCAACAATACCATAGTTATGTTTCTTCCTCTCTGTCTCTCTAAACAAATGTGCAGATGAGGGCATGTAAGATGATCTTTGTTATTCACTGTTTATGTGTATATAAATGTGTGTGTGTGTCTGTGTGTATGAAACTTAAAGAGACAACAATAAATGCCACGGTATTTTATACCTGTTACTTCCATCACTATCCAATCTGAAGACTTCCACCCCTAAAGTAGAAAACATCTCTAATTAATCTTCATTCTTACATGTGAAATTCCCCAGAGCTCTGTCCTTGGTCACTTTATGTTCTTCATCTTGAAATCCCTGCTTAGATAGTCTCATTTACCCTGAAGACTTTCAATTTTCTATCTAGTTTTAGCATCTCCCAATTGACTTAAGATCATCCCCTCGAGCATTTCAAATTCATGAAGTTCAAAGTTCAATTCTTATTATCCTTCCTTGGCCCCTCTCCTCTCTAATCATGACTTTCTTTTTTATTGTCCATAATTCAGTTAGTGACACATCACAGCCAGAAATATGGGCATTATTCTAACTTCCTTCTGCTCATTTACCTTCAACATTAGTCACTAAGTTCTGTTGATGTTGTCCCCAAACTTGCCCCATTCTCTCCACCTCTGCAAGATACAATCACAATAGCTCAACTCTCCATTATATCTCTGAGAAATGGCTGCAGTAGACTCTCAAATGTCTCCAGTGAGACTTCCACCCTCATAAAGAGCTTCTACAATGCCAGCAGAACAATTGATCTAACACATTAATCTGATCATCACTTCTATAGCTGTCCATCAGCTTCAGAAGACAATTTAAGTTTCTATGTATGGTACGGGGTATTGGTGGCACAGTGGTTAAGCATTTGGCTGCTAACCAAAAGATGAGCTGTTCAAATCCTACAGCTGCCCCTTGGAAACCCTATGGAGCAGTTCTGCTTTGTCCTATAGAGTTGCTATGAGTTGGAACTGACTCGACTGCAACAGGTATGGTATGGTATGAATGGTATAATAGACTAATCATTATCTGGTCCATGCTACTACTACAGATTCATCCATTCTTTATCATGATATTCTAGAAATACTACTTTCTTACATCTCATTCAAAAAAAAAAAAAAAACCCAAATCCATTGCAGTCAAGTTGATTCCAACTCATGGTGACCCTACAGGACAGAGTAGAACTGCCCCATAGAGTTTCCAAGGAATGCCTGGTGGATTCAGACTGCTGACCTTATTGTTAGCAGCTGTAGCACTTATCCACTATGCTACCAGGGTTTCCTACAGCTCCTTAAATATGCCATATTCCTCTTGCCTCCACCTTCTTGCTTTACTTGAAATCTGGTTCTTTCTTCAAGTATACTCCCTCCTCTTTAGGTTTTTCAGTAATATCTCTTAATTTGCTCAAATCTCATGTTTGAAGACATGCTAATTTCCTACTACAGTTTTAAAACTTTTATTAATTCTCATATTCTATTTTTAAAACAAAGAAACTAAAACCAAAAACTTCTCTTTTTAGAGCCGTGTGATTATGCCCCTTTCTCATTACTATTATCTTCTCAACCGTGTAAATAATACCCCTACCCCAACCCACTGAGGACTGTGGCACTTCCCCTTATAATATTTTCTCTTCATCACAATTCATTCCAGCATCCTAAAAAATGGCCAACCAATTATTTGTCCTCTTTGCTCTGTGCATTTTTCATATCCAGTGTCCTTTTCTTCTAGTCCACCTAGGCCACCCAGTCTCTTACAAGGTTGTGGGCATTGGCTGATTTCAATAAATTTCCTTTTTTAATTCAGCCACTGTAAGTCCCTGATGCTTGCAGCTAAGGGCACTAACATGGTTGCATCCTGAATTTATTATTTTCTAAAATTGATCAATTTTAAAAACCACTAATTTAAATACCCCCAATAATGGCCACAATCTCCAGTCTTGGAAATTTTTAATTCCACAAGTCTTATTATGACCCTTCTTCAGCCTTAGCTGAAACTGTAGCAGGTTGATATATATATATACCTTCTCCCTATTCACCAATGCCTTTTATTCTTTACTTCTCTCCCTATTGATATTAGATTCCATGTTCCATATTTTCTTTTTTTTGATTTTTTTTATTGTACTTCAGGTGAATGTTTACAGAACAAATAGTTTCTCATTAAACAGTCAATACACATACTGTTTTATGATATTGGTTAACAACTCCACAACATGTCAACACTCTCCCTTCACGACCTTGGAGGATCTTTTTTTTTTGGTGAAAATAGACATAGCCAAAGATACACCATTTCAAAAATTTCTACATGTACAATTCAGTGACATCAATTACATTCTTCCAGTTGTGCTGCTATTCTCACTATCCTTTTCCAAATTATTCCATCATCATCTTCAACTCACTGTCCCCAGGTCCATATTTTCATTTATGTATTGAATATATATTTATTGGGAACCTATTACATGTTGGACACTGTTCTAAACACTCTTCTGGAAACTCATTCTATTCCCAAAACCAGAATTCTCTGGTCCTTTTCTCTTTTTCATCATAGTCATCTAACAAAACCCCAAACTTAGATAAATTGAATGAGCTACTATCTCAATGTCTGCATCTAAGAAACCAGGAATATTGCAGCTGATCACACTGCAAGGGCAACTGGTACCACAAAATGTGAATATTTAGTAATGCCAGATGGCAGATGGGCCTTCAACACTACTTCAAAATCCTATATGTGTGTATATATACATACATATATATGTGTGTGTGTGTGTATATAGTCATGTCACACACCTACCCTATACAATAATGATTCAAATCTGCATATTTTTAATCCTCCTTATAACACCAACCTCTCAAACTCTGTATACAATCATGTTTCCTACCACACAAAAATAAGTGGAGATAAAAAGATGGGGAATCCTTAACATCTTATTAAATAATAGCACATCTATCTCCATCTATACATAGGAGCCCTGGTGGCACAGTGGTTAAGAGCTTGGCTGCTAATCTAAAGGTTGACAGTTAGATCCCATTCTGGTGAGCTGTGTCTGGGGTCTTAAAAACTTTCAAGTGGCCATCTAAGATGCATCAATTGGTCCCAATCCACTTGGAGCAAAGAAGAATAAAGAATACCAAAGACACAAGGAAATTATTAGCCCAAGAGACAAAAGGGCCACATAAACCAGAGACTCCATCAGTCTGAGACCAGTAGAAGTAGATGGTGCCCAGCTGCCATCAATGACTGCCCTTACAGGGAACACAACAGAGAATCCCTGATGGAACAGGAGAAAAGTGTGGAGCAGAACTCAAATTCATGTAAAAAGACCAGACTTAATTGTCTGACCGAGACTAGAGGAACCTCTGCAGCCATGGCCCCCAGAAGCTCTGTTAACCCAGAACTGCAACCATTCCCATAGCCCACTCTTCAGTCAAAGATTAGACTGGACTATAAAACACAAAATAATACTCGTGAAGCGTGTGCTTCTTAGTTCAAGCGAATACATGAGACCAAATGGGCAGCTCCTGTCCGGAGGCAGGAAGAGAAGGCAAGAAGGGACAGAAACTGGCTGACTGGACACAAGAAACCCAGTATGGAAACAGGGAGAGTGCTGTCACATTATAGGGATTGCAACTAATGTCACAGAAAAATATGTGTATAAATTTTTGTATGAGAAATTAATTTGAGCTGTAAACTTTCACCTAAAGCACAGTTAAAAAAAAAAAAAAAAAAAAGGTTGGCAGATTGAATCCACCAGCTGCTCCTTTGGAAACCCTACTCTGTCCAATGGGGTTGCTATGAGTCGGAATTGACTCGACGGCAACGGGTTTGGTTTTTGGTTTATCTTCATCTATACATGGCTTCCTCCTCTCAGTTCATTTTTTGTAACAGAGAAGGTAGCTCTACTCCTATCTAAAAGTAATTTATTCAACTGCTCAAGATGTCATTTCCCTCTATCTCATCAGGAACCATTCCATCTTTTTTTTAGTAACCTTACTCATTCTCAGTCTCTTCTGCCAGCTGATACTCTTTTAAATGTTGGTGTCCTTCAATACTCTAACCCAACTCCAGTCTTGGCTTTCACTTTCCTCCCTCCCGGAATAATCCTATCTAATTCCACAGTATCTATTACCACCTTTTATGTTGACTTCAAATTTACATCACTGGACCAGAGCTTTCCTTTAAACTCTATAACCAAACTCCCAATGCCTACTTAAAATCTCTACATGAATATCTCCTCAAATGCATCTCACACCAGTCTTACAATATTTACTTGCAAAACTGTTCCTCTTCCTATGTTCCCATCCATTCAAATGTGCAAGCAAACAACCCTGTAACATAACACAAACCCCATAACAACAGCCTCTTCCTCATCTGTCCCTTATCCAATCCACTACTTAGTTCATTTTATTTTGCCTTTTAAATCACCTTCAAATCTGTCTTTTTTTTTTGCCATCATGTGCTGTCATCACCTTGATCCAAGCTATAGACATAGGTTGCCTAGAGAAATGCAACGGATTCTTAACTGGCCTTACCACCTTCTATCTAAGATTTGTAAAATACAAATATGACCATGTGCCTCTTCTGCTTAAATCTCTTTGTAATTTTCAACTGCTTTCAAGATAAATCCCAAAACCCAGGTATCTCTGCTTTTTTTTTCTTTTGAGTTTCATCTTAAACCAATATCTATTTTGCTCTCTAATTTCTGAGCATGTAGCTGTTTTAGTTCCTCCAGTGAGCTATGTTCTGTCCTGCCTCAGGGCCTTTACGTATCTTGTTTCCTTTTCCTGCAACACATGTACTCCCCTCCCCCCAATTCTTTTCTCCTATTTGGCACCTATACGTCTCTCAGATCCCCAAATGCTACTTGTCATAACCTAAGATTGAATAATATCCCTTTGCTGTATACTTTTGTAACTTAGTATATTTTATAAGCACAGCAGATAACCACCGTTTGTAATCATGTACTTTTGTGACTATTAATATCCATTTTTCACTAGATGATAAACTCTGTGAGCTCTGTCCAGGTTCATGTCTGTTTTCCTTATTATTCCTTATTATATCATTGAAACTAATCACAGTATCTCACTTTACAAATATTTTTTGAATGAATGAATTATATTTTTCCCATGCTGCTGACTATGCCTATGGGGCTTTTTGATCTATTGCCTTAAAAACGGTTGCTTTCTGATTACCCTCCAGAAATAATTCATCTCATACCTCTCTGCCTTGTGTGTACCTTTTACTTAATACTACCATTGCTTGAAATCCAGTGTATGGAAATTATGGTTATTTTTTGCAAGCAGAATAAGAGCTCTTTGTCAACAAAGCAAAGCAAAACAAAACATGTGCTGTTCAATTTTTTATCCCAATTGCTTCACACAGTTTTTGGCACATACTAGCTTGACTCAGTGTTGATACTGATGACTGAGAGGAATGCAAAAAATTCAGAAAATTAAACTGGATTTTATGAGTTTCCAGCTGTAATGTTTAGAATAGTCCTAAGAATCCCTCTTGGCCTTAGAAGTGATCTTGGGGGTCTGAATTTGTAAATTCACAAAGCTAATTAGTTACCAAACAGTTCCTATTCCATTCGCTAGTTTTCTGGTAAAGAGAGAGAGAAAATAGAAAAAAAAAAAAAAAGAAATACACAGTTTTTTCAAACAGCAGGTTCTTACTTCATTTTGGTAGATAGACTCACACATATTTTGATGTTGCTTGATTCAGAAACAATATAATCTCATGATTCTGTGACTCTCTAGAGTTCATTTTGTAAGATTATATAGAAGAATTGAAAATGAAATTTAGTTATATCTCTGAACACGTGTACCTACAAGAAAAACTCTCCAAGGGCTTTGTCTATTTCAAGTTTTAAATCCTTTTAAAATAAAGCTGCAGCCTTGGTTTTTGTTTTGTTTTTATCTTCACTGTAATGTCAGTAGTCAAAGTCATCATCCATCAAGAAATTCTGCGTTAACTTGGTGCACCAAACAGAACAAAAAATTTGAATGCATACACTCATGGTATTTTTTTTTCTTTTTTAAGTCACCGGATGTGCTATTTAAATATATACGAAGTGCTAGTATCTTCTTATAAATTAGAGGTAAAAATACTTTTCTTCCTGAGATTAGATACAAAGAATGAAGAAGGGTGAAAATATTTATAAAAATACCAAAAACGTATATTTTGGTAATTTCAACTTGTACATTTATATTTGTTGGCTTCATAAGGATATTCCTAACAAATATTGGTTACGAGTAACTAGAATTTGAAGAAGCAATAACTTTTGTTAAGATTTTCATGTTTAATGTTTGTTCACTCCTAATTTCAGTTCTCTGCCTAACTCTTATGATATCTATGTACATCTCTTCTCTGAATACCCTCAACAGTGGGTGACTTTTGCAACTATGAGATTTTATTTGTATTTTTCCATGCACTTATATGTCAATAAACCTCATATTTTTAACAAAAAATATCAATTTGGTGAAAGTCAGAGAGTCCTCATATGACCTCATTCAGTTCAAAAGGTTGATTATTCTAAATGGTCCCATATAGACCATAATCTATATTTTGAATAGTGTTCATATTGTGCATGTTCATCTTTACAGAAGGTTCTCTGCAAAGTTATAAAATTTTGAACAACAGAAACTATTACCTAAGCAAAAGCTGTACCTGTGGTTATAGTTTATCTAGCTAACCCCAATATGGTAGGATTTGTGGTTCACCTCACCACTTCATTGATTCATGCTGGTGCACTAGATCAGGAGAAAGTACAACCTAGAGCCACGTGAAATGCCATACCGCACACGTCAGGGGCTTCATCAGAGTTGTCTCCGCAGTCGTCTTCCCCATCACACACCCAGAAATGTAGTTTGCAAAGGGAATTATTGCAGAGAAACTCATCGGCTCTACATATGTTTCCTCCTTTAAATTATAACGAAAGACAAAGAGAGAGTCATCATAATTAATGCCAGTCAGTAGGACGCATATTCATCTAACCCTTAGTACACAGTATCTACAGTTTCTTGATTCTTTTCTTCATTTATTTATTTTTTTGCACAATACTACCAGTTGTCGATTTGAATCCAACTTATAACTACCACATGTGTGTCAGAATAGAACTGTGCTCCACAGGGTTTTCAATGGCGGATTTCTTAGAAGTAGATAGTCAGGACTTTCTTCCAAGGTGCCTCTGGGTAGACTCAAACTGCTAAGCTTTTGGTTAGCAGCTGAGCATGTTAACTTTTTCCACTACCCAGGGATTCCTCCGTAATACTAGGAGTGGGTAATGTCCAATTTTTTTCCTTTTTTTCTTTGTAATGTTTATGATGCCTCTGCATTTCAAACTACTCTGATATTACCCTCGTGTATCTCATATTCTCTAAAGAATATTGATATGATGGCAAGAGAAAGATTTTTTTTCTCAAACCTAAATAGTTTTCTTCCATTCCACATCATTTTTATAATACTGAGTATAAAGAAATTTAAATTTTAAAGAACATTAATTTTATAATTAAAAAGTGTATTGTTCTAGAAAGGAAAGACATTTTTCTTTAGACTTATTAGATAATGAGCTGAACCTGAAATACTGAGAAATTGGATCACTGAAAACTTAGAATAACCAGCAGAAAGTTTTTTTTATGGTAACATACAAATAATTCACTGTATAATAGCAGTAGAAATTGGCTATATTACACAATTTCCCTGTTACCCACAAAGAAATCATGCATGCTACAGGTCACCACTTTTTTCTTTTTACATTTTTTAAATGCTTGCTTTCTTTTTTTTTTTTTTTCCTTTTCATACACAAAAAAGAAATCATCAGGCGTACAGGAATACTATAACTTAGAATTGCTAATTATATCTACTATATGCAAAGTATCCCAGAGTATTTATACATTTTTATTATATGTCTAGTGATGTAGCAATACACAGTAGAAACTACAATGACTGGGAAGTTAGGTACTGTGGACTCTTGCTTTGGACAAGTAAATTAATTTCTATGAACCCAGTGTCCTCCTATGTTAAAGAGGAAGTATGTTTAACGTGATTTATATCTTAAGAACAACACACAGAAACCTGATGAGAATTTAGAAACAAAACAAATAAGATTGCCCTCAGAGAATTACACTAAATTTATCTAAAGCTCATAAATCAGACAAGATATAGGACTGCCATGTTGGCTAGATTTGACTGGTTTAAGGTATTACATATTTAAAAATGAGAATGTCCGTTAGAACATGGTACTATAGAGTGATGGTGGTCATTCTTGCAAGCCTAGAAAATTCCTACAAGGAGGCAGTATTCTTCTTGTGAATGCACTTTGGAGGGAATAATTAATCTAGTTTTGTGAAGGTCAAATAACTTTTCTTATACCGAGTTTTGATTTGCCACATAAATCTCTAATAATTCACTTCTAGTAGTGAAGGGTTAAGTCCCTGGGTGGCACAAAAGGTTTGTGTTTGCTTGCTAACCTAAAGGTTGGTGGTTCAAACCCAACCAGCAGTGCTGCAGAAGAGAGGTCAGACAATCTGCTTCTGTAAAGACTGCGGCCAAGAAAATCCTATGGAAAATTCTGCTCTGCAACACATGGGCTGCCATAAGTTAGAAATGACTTGACGGCACTTGTTTTTTTTATCTTTGGAATAAATAGATTTTGTCTTTGGAAGTGACTAGAATTTTAGAATGATAAAACCAGCTTCAGTGTGAAGAACTTGGGAGTGAGGATAAAAGAGTAATACCAGGACTAAAATAAGAAACCAATCTGAAGGTGTGGTTGTGGTAATCCAGAAAAGAACTAACAGTAATTGCTTTAGAGTTCCGACATTTGAGAGCTTTTTAGAAGATAGAACCCTTGGGAACTGAGGACAAATTAGGTGACATGGCAAAGGAGAGTGCATGCTACTCATTTTTTGGTTTGGGCCACTTAGTGGAAGTTTGTGTCATTCAATTAAAAAAGGATCACAGCAAGAGGAATAAGTTTAGGAGAAATGGTGACGCATTTCATTTGAGGTACTGGTAAGACAACCAAGTGGTGATGTCTAGCAAGCCAATGGATAAATGTGTCTAAAGCATAGGAGAGGGTTCTGAACTACGAAGGTCCATTTGGAAATCATCAGAATAGTTATGACTTGAAGTGCAGGAGATAACAGAAAGAACCCAATATTTAAGAACTGAGTAGATAAAGAGGAGTTGAAAAAGGAGACTAAGAAGTAGCCAGCGGGAAAGGGTTGTATCATACAATGTTTGGGTAAAAAAAAAAAGTGTTCTAACAAGAAAGTAGTAGTTAGCACATTCAAATGATGCTAAGATGCGTGGGAAAAAACAGACACCTGCATATATTTAAATGATGTTGGGAATAATCTAGTAGACAGGGGAAGTTTAAAGATACAGGAGATAAAATGGTAATTGATGTAATAAGCAACTTGAGTGTGAGGGAGTTGAGATCTAGATAAAATGAAAGGGTTAGTCTTAGAGTGGAGGTGAGACAACACTTCAAGCAGAAAGAAGAGCAAGCCTAAGCACAGTTGTAGGTAGCTTTGTTAATCTGATGTGCAGGTGTTGACAAAGCTAATGGCTTCCATTATTGTTGTGAAGTAAATGATAAGGTCATTAACTGAGAGGGACAGAGATAGAGGTGGCTTGATGACAGAGTTGAGGAAGAAAGGCAATTTTTAAAACATCTGATAGGATTAATGGTGGAGAGAGGTGATTAGGGTAAATTAAGTAGATTGCTTACAATATTTAAGTAATAATTGAAGCCTGAGGCCAAGAATTATGATGATAATCTGAACAGTTGTAAGACTTTCTGAAAAAATGCTGAGTAGAACTAGTACATGTTGAATTGGCATATCTGAGTATCACAACTACTCTAAGCTACAGATAAGATCAGGTCCTTGGTGAGTCCACCAAGATGAATATCACTATGTGAGATTCTGACAGTCATACATCTGGCATGGGGCGGGGTGTGGGGGGCAGGGGGCTCGTTCTTTCAAACTTCTACAATAATGAGCTCTAAAATGCCATAATTTAAAAAATAATTTACCAAAACCCATGCAACAAGACTACATTGCCATTTAACAGCTCTCTCTCTGAAAACAGTAAAAATAAGATAATAAGTGCAAATTCTTTAGTAATAAAGAAACTAAATATATAAATATCAGTATGTGGTGAGTTCTGGCTTAATTCAAAATCAAAAGGCATAGAATATGAAGCAGAGTTTTAGTCTTTCAGAATAAAAATTTAAATGAATAAATCTCATTGCATGTTCCATTTTACAATGGATTAAATTCAAACAGAATTTTGTGAACTCTTGGCATCACCTGATTATTTTAAGAAAAGTCTATAGCATATCAGTCTTATTAAAAGGGAAAAATTCTCTAGATATTGCATTAGATAACATAATTTTTCCAAAAGTGTTGGACAAGCCACTGTTTTTATTAAGAAAAAGAGAAATATAAACAGAATCGTAATTGTAACAGAAAGGCAAAGCTTTTGTGAGAACCTCCAAAAGACTTCCTATTGTGCTATAAAGAATATACATTTCAAAAAAATGCATCATGGGGCTATCATGCCATCTTCAAGCGTAACTTAAAATGCCTATTTTGAAAATGCATGAAAGCGCACATATGATGGAGCCAACTTATTTTCATTATATTTTAAGGACAAAAATTTAGACTTGTAGAATTCTTCAAATGCAAAAATAAAAACAAAAGATATAATTTAAAGAGATGGGCTTGATTCAATATCCCACTTTTCTAGTCATGTTTTTGATCAGCACAATGGAAAGTTACTAGAAAAAGTGAAAAAGATTTATTAATTAACAATAATTTGTGTCTAAATTATAACCGAGCCTCTGGGAGGTTCATAGATATCTGGACAAGTGCAACATCACAGAGAATAAGTTACTACAGTTCTTATTCTAATTTGGTTTAGAGTTTTTTAAAATGTAATAATAATTTATCATTTCCATAAATGGTTTACACATTTTTTGAGCTGATGATTACTGAGAAGAAAACCTCACAATCTTTTCCACCAACATTCTCATAAAGAATAAAGTTTTTGAGCTTAGACCAAAATAAGTAGTAAGTTATTTTGAATCATATGTTTTACCTTTAAAATTATACATGATGCCTTTAACTCCATAGTACTTTGGGTTTTAGTGTTTAAGAAGTATAAACCATTAAAATTGATTCACTGGGAAAATGTGCCATGCTTATTCTACAGCTCCCTTACCTTCTAGCCCACAACCTGGTGGCCCCTGTGTCAAGATTTGAGATTAATAAAAGTGGGATTTAATAGAAGAGAAGTTTCATTTGACATTCCATTTCCTCAGTGTCTTCAAGTACATATTTCCAATAGGTAATCCACTTCCCAAGAGTAAATTAAATACTAAAAATCTGAACTTGGTCATGCCTTAAGGACACCCATACAAGATCAAATACGTTAACCACCAAGGTATCTCAGTGGAATGTATTTACCTAGCAGCACATACCAAAAAAAAAAACAAAACAAAACCCGTTATCCTCAAGTTGATTCCAACTCGTAGCAACCCTATAGGATGGAGTAGAACTGCCCCATATGGCTTCCAAGGAGTGGCTGGTAGATTTGAACGGCTGACCTTTGGGTTAACAGCTGAGCCCTTAACCACTGTGCCACCAGGGCTCCTAACAGCATATAAACCACCACCCCCCCAAAAAAATTTAGCAGTATGTGGGGGGAAGAAAGGGGAGGGGTTGATCCATTTGTAAATGATTGAATTAAAGACCCTTGACTCTTTCTTAGTCCTTAAGCTTAAACACTTAGTTAAAAAACAAAAAAAACACCTGTTGTCATTGAGTCAATTCAGACTCATAGAGACCCTATAGGCAGAGTAGAACTGCCCCATAAGGTTTCTAAGGAACGCCTGGTGGATTCAAACTGCCAATCTTTTGGTTAGCAGCTGTAGCTCTTAACCACTATGCCATCACAGTTTCCAAACATCTTAAATCTGAAAGACACATCATGTTTCAAATACTGTAATGTTCAATTTTTTACCATAATGTTCAGTTTTTTTTTTTAACATGGAATCCTTTGTTCAAACAATTTTTTAAATGAAATATAATATTAAAAAAAATTAGATCTATCTTGACAGGATTATCCCTTCCTGCACTCATTTGCAGACACTCCTACATCTCTGGGAGATATTTCACTGTGGTTGGATTTGATAACATGAACAATAAGCACAGAAAGTTTTGTGGAGACAGATTAATAACTGATTCTCATTTCAGTAATCTTTCTTTGCTATTACGTAGTTCAAATCCTATCACCCTCCTTCTTTTAAAATTTCAAAACTTCTTCAGAGCCTTCCATGACTTCCCAAACTGCTCAAGATTAAAACCAAACTCTGTAATATGAATCTTCAATTACTTGTGGTTTCTGAACAGCTAAACTGTCTCTCACCTCTGTGGTTTTGTACATAATGACCCACTACCTGGAATATTGACCCTTGGTGGTGCAGTGGTTAAGATCTGGGCTGCTAACCAAAAGGTCTGCAGTTCAAATCCGCTGGCTGCTCCTTGAAAACCCTATAGGGCGGTTCTACTCTATCCTGTATAGGGCCGCTATGAGTTAGAAATGACTCGACAACAACAGGCTTAGCTGGAATATATTCCCTCTTTCTGTTTTCATACCTAATTTTTGGCATCAAGAAACTCACATTCCAATAGAGAAAAATTAGTCAGAAAGCAGAAATAATTATATTAGAAGGCAGAATGTGATAACAGATATGCAATCAAAGGATTGCTATGGAAAATCCAAAAAAAGACATAATTTGGTTGAAAACCAGCTCAGTAGCAACAAAGATGCATTTTACGGAATGATAGAACTTTAATTGGCAAAGGTATTGAGATGGAGGAAACAGCAGAAGAATCAGGAGAGATGGTAGAAAGCATGAAACATGTTGCTAGATAATTATTTTCTAGTTCGGCTAGACTCTAAGATACCTGAAGAAGAGTTATAGAATACAAAGTGGGGAAGGTCAAGTTAACCCTGACTACCAGGCTGTGCTGTTTGCATATAATCAGGAAGAGCCTTGGGTAACGACTGACATAATCAAAGATACAAGTAGATACCATGAACCTGGCAGCAGTGAATAGGATGCATTAGATTAGAGATCAGTTAGGTGGTATTCCACAAGCCCCGGTGAGAAGCAACAAGAGCATGCAGTAGACTGGTGGCAGTGACTGAAGTTGAGGTAATGGAGGTTATTAGCTGGAAAATGGGAAAAAAGATGAGTAGATTTTGTTGCTGCCTGAGTGAACACAAAATTCTCTGGCTCTAGAGTGACAGATTACAGAAGGTGAGTGTGAAAACTTAACTAAAAGTAGAAAAGCTATTATGAGCATTTAACTTTCATGGCCCTCTAAAATAAGCCACAGGAGACCTGGTGCTGCAGGGGTTAAGCGCTTGACTGTTAACCTAAATGTCCACAGTTCAATCCCATCAGCCAATCCGCAGGAGAAAGACAGGGAAAAAGATGTGACAGTCTCCTTCTGTAAAGATTCCAAACCCAAAATCAAACCCATTTCCCAGTCGATTATGACTCATTGCGACCCTGTGGGATAAGGTGGAACTGCCCCAGAGGGTTTTCTAGGCTGTAATCTTCACAGAAGCAGAATGCCACATCTTTTTCCCTCATAGTGTCTGGTGGGTTGGAACTGCCGACATTTTGATTAACAGCCGAGCGCTTTAATAACTGCACCACCAGGGCCCCTTCGTAAATATTACAGACTTGTAAACCCTGGTGGCTGTTCTACTCTGTCCCATAAGGTCTCTATCTATGTGTTTGAATCAACTTTACGGCATTGGGTTTGTTTTTTGGGTTTTATAATAGCCCGCAAACTCCAAATTAGAACTAAAATTTCTTCTGGTGAATATAAATAACAACATTTTTTTCTGGTTTGGGATGGAGATATTTTCTAGTCATACAATTAAGACCTAATATTAAATAAAATAGAATATATTTTCCTTTGGTGACTAGATATTTTAGATATTTAAACTATATAAACTGACTGCATGTTCAAATGTCTTACATCATGTCAAAATATCTAGCATGATCTCTGTTGGTGATGTTCCCAATATTCTGAAACGTAAAGCCCATTGAGAAACTTTTGTAAGCAAGTTAAATACTATATTCAAACAACATATTTAACTTTATGAAAATAACAAGAATTATATAATTTGTGATCACCACACAATTTATTTGTTTTCATATCATTAATTCTAAAATAGTAACAACAGCTGCTTTTAATACAGGATTGATAACTAAAGAAATTGTCATCTGCCAGGAAGTGGTCTTCACATGGCTGGAGAGTAATAGATTATAAAATTGAAATTTGTCTTCCAGAATGCATATATATAATCCCTTTCCCTGCCCCAGCACCTAGTAGAATGACATACTCATAAGAGGTACACAGTAAACACTTGTATTTTGGATGCTTTGTCAAGAGAAGAAGAGATTACCTTGTCTGATAATGATCTGGATTTAGAACAAACTGATAGGTAATGACACTAGAAATACTAAAGAGAATCATTTAATGACCTCTAGCACACTCTATATTCTGCTCAGCTTCTTAACATCCATTCTCTCCTTTAAAGGTACAAAATAACCTTACCTCTGTCACAGTTCTCTTCATCACTGCCATCCACACAGTCTTGAACTCCATCACACAGCCATCTAATTGGAATACAGTGGGCTTTATTTTTGCATCGAAACTGATCTTCCTTACATTCAGTCACACAGTCCATCTGTCCAAATACAAACGGGCACTGCAGTTTTCATTAATGATAATGATACAGTCACAGGCAAAATAAATATTCAGCTGACACTACTGAAAATGTATTGCACCATGGGCTTTCTTTTATTTTGCCTTAATGAATATAACCTCTACAGATGACAGTGGAGTTTAATATATGAACGACATGAAAATGCGGGTACTTGCTGAAATTACTGTGTTCAACGTACCTGTCCAGACCTTTTAAATGGTGCTGATAATCAAGATCCTGTCTCTTTACTCTATTTTTATTACATAAGCTTTCCCAAACTTGATTCAGATAATTCAAAGATTTTTAATGAATGATAGATCTTACCTCGTCTGAACCATCGGCACAATCATATTCTCCATTACATCTCAGAGATGCTGAAATACATCCTCCGCTGGCACATATATACTCACTTGATGAGCAAGTAGGTGAAGCTGAATACAATTATAAAATTGAAATTTAGATACAGGAAAAACAATGACTAGTTTGAGGAATGAAAACATATATAAGCGTATTAAAATATGAATTCATAGACGGCATTGAACATGGTTTATATTATTTAAACCTGGTTCAACATTTGGTATTAAACATTCATTAAAAATGTGCCTTACAATATTATTGCATTGTATTAAATATTCATCAATGTTACAACAGCCTGTATAGTAAGGATTCAACTCACAAAATTAAAGAAAAAATAAAACTCCAATCCTCCATCTCTAAGATTTTGAAGAGTTCAATGATTTTTTTCACAATTTTTAAAGTAAATTATTTTAAAAGACAAAAGTCTCAAGTTATTTTAAAAAATGCAATAGGATTTAGTGATTTTTGGAAATGTTAGGTCATATATGCATTGTATAAAGCTAAAACTGAAATCTTGGCATAGTCTCATGAACTCAGGCATATCTATTTGACTGTTGATGTAAATGTGTTATTTACATACATTTTAAGAAATTTTTTGCTTTAGGATTCTAAACATAAGTATATGTATAATTATCAGAGCCTGTATAATTTGAGAAGCCCTAGTGGCACAGTGGTTAAGACTTGGCTGCTAACCAAAAAGGTCAGAAGTTAGAATCCACCAGCCGCTCTTTGGAAACTCTATGTGGCAGTTCTACTCTGTCTTATAGGATCACTATGAGTCAGAATCGACTTGATGGCAATGGGTTTGTTTTTTCTGTTTGTTTGTATAATCTGAAGTATATTATTTTATGATATAGAAATTTAAAATAATAAGAAGATAAATAAGTTATGACCATTGTTGTTATTAGGTGCTGTCAAGTCAGTTCCAACTCATAGCAACCCTATGTACAACAGAATGAAAAACTGCCCAGTCCTGTGCCATCTTCACAATTGTTGTTATGCTTGAGCCCATTATCATAGCTACTGTATCAATTCATCTCTTTGAGGGTCTTTCTCTTTTTCGCTGACCCTCTTCTACCTTACCATGTCCAAAGTATGTGAGACCAAGTCTTGCCATCCTTGCTTCCAAGGAGTATTCTGGCTGTACTTCTTCCAAGACAGATTTGTTTATTCTTCTGGCAGCCCATGGTATATTCAATATTCTTTGCCAACACCATTACTCAAGCTAATTAATTGACACAGGAATTATGACGGACACTTTTCAGTTTGCTAGGCTTGTATTCAAACCTCTGAGTCTCTGGGCCTTATATGGGACAGTCAGGCAGGATATGTATTCTAAATTGCTTAGCAGAGAAATGCTAAAAAGCTTTTTTGCTTGAATCTTAATTCTTTTTAATTGGTAGTGTTGTCTACAGTCATGTATTAATAAGGAGCCAGAGAGCATGTCTGGATTCAGTAAGAAAGAAGATGTGATCAATTAGAAATGTACCATGGGCATGGTAGTGAGCCATGGTAACTTGTGTGCATTATAGGTACTACTTCTGACTTAATCCCTCACACTAACACTTTCATGGTTATATATAGATTATACCATGATTGTCTCCCAATATTTTTCCATATGATAATTTTATTAAAATATATGAGTACAAAAATTAAGAGTTTTAATGAGCATATTTATAGAACAATATATAATGGAATACACTCAGATCATAGCGACCCTACAGGACAGAGTAGGACTGACCTATAGGGTTTCCTAGGCTGTAATCTTTATGGGAGCTAGGTCTTTTCTCCTCCTGAGCGACTGTTGGGTTTGAACCTCTGATCTTGTGGTCAGCAGCCGAGTGCTTTAACCATTGCACCACTATGAGTCAGCATCAACTCAACAGGACACAACAACCACAACAACAACATAAAGGAATATAAACACCTCAATTGGGCGTCTTTTCCTATATTCTGATTTTTATTCCTAATTTTATTTTGATTTTGGCCCAAGATGTAAATAGAAGCAACGCATTTATGCTTCTCCTCATTTGGTATCACTTTGAAACGACTACATTTCTGCTTCATAAGCTTAATTTCTATAACTGGAAACCTGACTTTATAGTACCTATAGTTTGAGCATATTTCATGTTGCTGTCTTGGGACAATAATTCCAAATGGTGTGAAAAGATATAGAAACCAGAAAATCAAAGTTTGAGGAATAATGCTTGGATCCTTACATAAGTAATAATCTTACCTGGTATTATTTCTTAAAAACAGTAAATACATGCATGCATTGGCCCCTGTTTTCGCACATCATTGTTTAGATTCTATCAAGTTACAGTATCAGCTAAGTTAAATATAACCTTAATCATTTTACCTGGGTCACAGCTTTTCTCGTCCTCGCCATATTTACAGTCTTCATGACCATCACATTTCCATTTTGCTGATATGCACTGACCATTAGAACACTGAAACTGATCTCTGGAACAACTTGTTTCACAATTTCTCTGTCAAAAACAGCACAGAAGTAAAACTAAATTTTCAGAAAAATATCTACAAACTCAAAAGCAGCTAGAAATATATATGTAGAAATCTTCTGTATAGAAACCTAGATGCGTAGAAACTGTAGGCCACATACAAGTAGCTCAGATGGTCATATTTTAATATAACACAGCCTATATAACACGGTTTTCCACTTTCCTCATCTCCTTAGGTCTTGATAAAAGGGAGAAGTAAAAAAACATAATCCCATGGTTTTGTCATACTAATTATAATGTTCTGAGTGGATTGCACTTCAAAAGACAACTATAGGTTAATGACGTTTTAATAATTATAGCTGAGAATGAAGGTAAAGGGAAATAAAGGCTTAAGAAATTCTTTCTCAGCAAGTGCTTAAGGTATAGCAGGGGAGATGGGAATTGAAATAAAGGAAAATCCAAAGGTGAATCTGGTTTGCATCGACAAGACTTCCCCTAGAGTTATTTCTTCTCTTTTTTCTTGGTCTCTTGTCCTCCCTACCTGTTCTTTTATAGTTTAGTTGCTGTTCATAGTCCCCGATCTCTCTTCTGGTGTTTTTTCCTAAAGAGCTATGAAATGGACTGTGACACTTTTCATTTCTGCTAGCCCACATATAGAATTTATTTGGAAGTCAAAAAAGATAGCAGATTTTCTTTGGGAATCTTTCAATTCTTTATATGAGACAAATGAAAGGAATTCACTGGAGATTCACCACTTCTGGGTCTGAAAACTGCTTGAAATGGGATGTTCCACTGAAATGTCTTGCTGGAATGGTATTTTTCTCTTGTTAAACAAGTCCTATACTTGCCAAAATGTACTTCTCTGCTCCTTCCACAAAAGGCACAACCCACTCTCAGCTTGTAGAACTCCAAGTGAGTGAGGCATGTTGAGCTTTTGTTCCCTGCTTCTTCCCATCTCCATTCCCATGTAAGGACGGAAGGCATCCTTTCTAAGTTCTTTTAATTTTCTCTTTGTTGTTGATTTTTTTAAAAAATAAAACATCATCAGTAAAGAGTTTTCGTATCATGTGCAATACAATTGATATTCTTCTGCCCTCCTGCCCTTCCTCCTTCCCTTCCTTCTCCCAATTATTGGGAGTTTACCACTTGCCCAGAACTTTCTTAGACAGTAAGAATATAAAAAAAACAAACTAAGATTTTCCCCTATATTTGATAGACTCACAGACTAGTAGGAAAGCCCAACACTTTAACCAACTAATGCAATAAAATATATTAATTGCCAAAATAAATGGTAATGATTTTAAAGTGGGAATTTAGAGAAGGCTTCAACAAGAATGGTACACAAGAAATGGAACTGCCTAAGAAAGGGTTTTTCGTGTGTAAGGATAATTAGAAATTTGGTGTATCTGAAGGGTATGCTAAATAATGGTGAATAGTGAGAAAGAGTTAGTAGAAAGAGTCCACGCATTGATCATGAGCTATAGGATTTCATATGTTTTGTTCACCACTATACTCCTCATGATCTAAAAAGTGACCGATATATAAGATATATAATAAGCATTCAATGGTAACTGATGATTAGTAAATGTATGAATGAATTAATTAACTAACAAATGTAGAAATGAGGAACATAGATTAAAACTTCATGTAATTAAGTTCCATTAGAATAGGAATCACGCCTGTCTGTTCATCACATGTCTAAAACAATGGCATAATAGCTGCTACTTAATGAATATTTGTAGGATTAATGAATGTCATCTCAGCAATAAAGCTCATTTCAGTAAGCTCAATAACCAATGATGCTGACATATCTATAGTGCTTTGACAAGAATACAGACAGTGTTATTTTAGGTACTTTTCCTATTATGAGATTTCTAATTGCAATAAGTTGCAGTATAGTTGATTTGCGTGTGTGTGTATTTAATTATGATTTCAACAGTTATCAACACTTGCTATTCTTGTTTCATCCACCATGCCCAGTTATTTATACTATGGAGTATTTTAAAATAACAATAACATTATCTGAAAATTAACAATATCACAAAATTAACAATATTCCTTAGAATAAGTTTATTTTGAATCCATTTCCAAAAAGTGCACATTTTCTTAACTATATGAAATATCCTTTGGTAAAATAGGAACCCAAAATATGTTTATACATTGAATTTGGTTGATACATCTAATAATTTTCTTTTAATCTATAACTATTCCCCATTCTCTGAGTTTCTTTTTTTTTTTTTTTAAAGTGATTTATTGCATGAAGAAACAAGGTTATTTGTTCATTAGAATGTTAACATCCTGAATTTGGCTGATTGCATCTTAAGAACCGTGGTACAGCAACTTCCAAAGAGACTAACGAGTTTTCTATATTTTTTAGTATTGCTATGAACTCATGGATTTTTATGTATTTTACGTGTTTCCATCCACTGAGGTCTGTTTTCCTTCTGAAGCTCAAATTTTTCCTTCTTTGGTCAGTGGGGGCCTCTTCAAAGTTGCTCCTATGTCTTTCAGACATGATGCTAAGAATCTTGTTTTCTGGCTTGACAAGACATTAGTGGCTCATCTTGTCCATTTCCTCTTTCTGACCTAGAATCAGACATTTCTCTAAAAAGTCTTGTTGTTGTTGTTTTTCTAATCAGGAAATGGTAGTTAGAGGCCTCAGTGTAAATGTCAAGGATAGTCATTACTATTAGCTTCACATTATTTTTAAAACTACTCAGTGGCAGAGCTAGGGAATGTATACTTTCAGAAAGAGAAAGAGTAATCAAGACCTTACACTGCTACTTTTGAATTTAGTATTACAGATTATTTACTTAATTTCTTTGTTTTTAAATTCGTGTATCCTTTCTTTTACCCTGAAAAATCTGATTACTAATGACATTAACATAATTAGCTTTTGAAATATGCTTCTCTCAATATATGAGTTTCAAATTAATAATACCATGAACAAGACAATGAATGCAGTTTAAGATTCCTCTGCATTTTCTTTTATTCTTAATAATATTTTATACTTGATGTAGAGACGAAGTACTGTGTTTTAAAGTCACTTTAAATAATTCTTCTCTGTAGATGCCTCCAACTTGATATGTAATTAGATTGATTCAGTTTTCTATTGTTGTTTTTTAAATTAACTTAATCTTTGTTAGATATTAATAAGCAAATTAAACTGTCAGCTCATATTCATACAGAAACATATCTTCACAATTCTCTCAGGTATTTTTGTTCCTAATAGGAGAGTAATCTGTGTGTATTTTTGCTTTCTAGCAATCTGTGTGTATTTTTGCTTTCTAGCCATTTGACTCAGTTCCCTGTTCTGTTTGCTTGTTTTGTTTGATTTTTGTAAATGCAATCTCAGTCAATACAGGCTTTAGAAAGAAAACTAGAAATCACCTATCTTTGATGTTAGTTATTTCATCACATATAGACTATACTAAATATCTGTAAATGTAGAGCAAGTCTATTTTTAAGAAATATCAGACAGAGTTAATTTGATTCCCTTGGGAAATTATCATGAAAATGTCTAGATGTATGGAGATAGTTTCAGGATTAAAAAGCTATGTCTATCAATTTATGGCATGAGAAAAATGGTTTTAATGAGGATATATACTTTCACATGCAATAAGACTTTGCAAAAAAGTCATTAACTTTGTATGTGTATCTTGCATATCTAATGAATAACATATAATATAAAATCATAAGCCTTAGACAATGTATCCATATGTCTTGAAGTTTCATGGATTGCACAGGCTGGTGGAACATACAAAATACATATATATGGCATGGATGATTTTACATTAAAAATGTGTTTTCCTGCATTGGAAACATTACCTATAATTTTTGAGTTAACAGATACTAAGTAAATATGTGGTTGGTCAATGTAGCAATAATTTAATTGCCCTGCAGATTTCTTGAAATTGTATTTTGATTTTTGGTGTGTGAATAGCCACATCAGTAGAAATGTTATTTTTCACCTTCTTCTCTTAAGAGAACTTGGTGTCCTTGAAGTTTAGATTTTGCTGGCCTTCAGGTAAGAAATTTCAAGCATTTGTTCCCAAAATCTAGGCTTCAGAATGTGACTCAGATGACTTGTCCAAGGGTGAGATGATGGATAATGTCAAACCCTGATACGTATGCCTAAGGACTGGAAGAGAACTGACTTGTATGTGTTCTACATATATATTAGAGACATGTAGTATCTCTGGCAGGAAAATCAGATGAGGATAGTTGTATCCTGAAATATAGAGCTCTCAAGAGTAGCAGGGAGGATCTTCTCAGGCCAAGCCTATGGTCAGTGTGTGTGTATCTGTGGGTCAACAAGAACTGCAGGGTTCTAGAGAGCCATTGTTTCACAAGGAGCCATGGTGGTCACTGAGGACCAGAGACCTCCTTTTCCTCCTTTACTTCCCATTAGACTTGTTTGCATAAGCCCTGCATTCCTGGTATTATTCACAAAACAAGACATGATAAATGACTATGATTAGACTTCTTTCTGACATGGGAAGCAGGGGCTAGTGGTCATTTTAGATTTGATTAAAAAATATATATATAATGATGTGTACTTTATTAATTTTTAAAGCATCATGGAATAATTTCTATCTGAAACATACATATATAAATGAATGAATAACCAATTGTATAAAATAATTTTCAGCACAAACTAATTTTACAGAATTATCCAGAGAAATTCTAAACTTTGTCACATAAATTGTGTGTACATGGGTCTTATTATAAGTGGATTGTGATTTAGCATCTAAGCAAAGCTCAACCTGTGGTTTCATGAAAACTGATGACCCGTATGGAAGTGTATAAGACTATATCTATTGAAGAAAGAGACTGGGGAGAAGAAAAACTGTTTAAAATGCATAAAAATATTAGCTGTCACTATAAATACTGCAGCAAATGTATGATCAAATTCACAGATGGCAAGGGCAGCAGCTATAGGGAATAGGGCTTTCATACATCCTATTCCCAGCCCAGCTATTCACCACTTGAGGTAAAACAGACTATAAAATTAACTGTCAATAGTCGCATAAGAGCGATTCCCTATGCTGGGTATGTGCAGCACAGTGCATGGATATAATACTTATCTCAGTGTGTCAGGAGCAAAGTGCATTTCAAAGCTGTCCTAGTTGCACTCATTGGACTGAATAATAATAATTGCAAATGTGGTTCTAAAGAACTGCTTTCTTTTTAGTTCAATTTTGCAAAGATGCCTACCTCATCAGAGCCATCTGCACAGTCAAAATCTCCGTCACACCAAAACCTTGAAGAAACACAGTCCCCATTGGCACAGAGAAAATCTTTCAATGTACAGGTCTGTGGCTCTAGGGATGGAAGACAGCACAAGGTTATTCTATTATATGAAACTGCATCTAAAATTTATATGGCATACCACATGAGGTAGCATTAAAGAAAAAGAAAAAAAAAAAAGAGGTTAGCCAAGTAGAACCAATAAATTGTTCAGGAAAAATGTCCCATGAACCATCTACGGTACATAATATAATGATTTTTCAAATTTATTTTTAAAGTCATGAATAGAAAGTGGCATTACAGAAACAAATGGAAAACAAAGGCAAAAGATAAATAGCCTACTGTTTAATAAAAATACAGCAACAAAGTAAAATTAAAAACATATACATATACATACTGTTGCAGTATAATAATATATAACAATAATCTTTTCCAGTTTTTGGAGTTGTAAGTCATTTTATGTATTTACTTTAAGTAGACATTATGTGAATCTCTTACTTCACCGAATATACCCATGCGGCTGGTTATTAACTGGGGAGTGAGTTGACTTTTTATTATTTATTCTAATAACATTCTAATTCTTCTATTTTATCCCTGGGAAATCCATAATTCATAAAACAAGAAGGGCACATAAGAGGTTATTGGACATGACTGGATCAGCATGAAGTTGAGGAGGCAGAAGGAAGCTATTTTCTTTGAAAACTGCCTATTTGCTTATGCAGTTGTTTGCTTATGTCCTATATCATTTGACTGTCAGCTGATTTGCCATTTATTGATTTGACTATGCTTCACTATCCCCTCCCACATAGGACTTAAGCCAAATAGTATGACTTACTACTTAGCTTAAGTCTTATCTGGACACTGAATTAGGGTTCCAGAAATCTGTTCTGGCAAGTAATCAATATGACTGCTGAGGATCATCTCTTGTTTAGTTTTTCTGTCTTCTAAATAGAATTAACAGCTAGCATAAGGAAAGACCCTTCTAGTTTTCTCTTTGATAACTATTTTTATAGCTTTCTACACATATAATAGTATTCTTATCCATGTGAAGAAGGAGTAAGTAAGAGATAAAATTTAAGAAACATCCACGTGAAGTCTAACATTCTACATAAATTTTGTGAATAATTCAGCCAGTGACTGGGATATTTCTCTACACAATCTCTTGGTTTGTAGCTATAGGGAAACATCTTGAATGTTTCCTGTCAGGGGGTCTTCAAAATTTCTGCATAAAGATCCCCTTGGAGAATGTTGAAAGAACTGTGGAAAGTGTAAATTGTACAATGTGGGGATATATGCCATTTAAACATGGCTACACTATTGACAACTTCAGCCCCTCAAAGGCCTCTATGATGCACAGAACATGTTGAGACTTGTCAGCGATGAGGAGGAGATTAGGCACAACTTGTTTTCCCAAACCTATTGTCTGACTGGCTTGTTTACCTGAATTCCTTCTCCCTTGCCCGAAACTTATTGTTATTCACCCAAAGCCCATTGTTCTGTTATTTGCTTCACTGCTTGCTGTACTGACTATAAATAAACTCCTGGGACTGAAGCCAGGGTCGAGTCCTCTGAGTGACCCTCCCTGGCCCCACTTCTCTGTAAGAGTCGTGTTTGGCTACTGTCTTCTCTGCCCTGACAATCATCACCGCTGTGACAGATGGTGCCCCGTGTGAGGGGACTGTAGACGCCCTCGCACTCAATCCCTTCAGGTGGTGAGTATCGGACATCCATTTCAGGCTGGGTTTACAGCCCAAAGGCAGCGGGGCTTTCCCGAACGCCCTCGATTCAGGCTGGGTTTACAGCCCGAGGGCGGCGGGGCTTTCCCGAGCACTCTCAAGGGGTTTCAGGCTTCAGGCCAGGAGTCTTTACTGTCTCTCATTCTCTTCTTTCATTTTCCATTTCTCCCTCATTATGGGGAATTCTCTTTCTTCTGAACAGCGTCAATATAAAACCCAGCTGTTAGGATTGTTAAAGGCCTCCAAGCTTAAGGTGTCAGAAGAAGCTCTTACCCAACTTCTGCTTTTAATTGAATCTGCCTGTCCTTGGTATCCCTTGTGGGGAAACCTTGATGTAGAAGCATGGGAACGTATTGGTAACATCATTCGTGACATGAACATCCCAGCTTCAGTTCTTATTGCTTGGCATCACTGCCGCCTTGCCCTGCAGTCCTTACAAGCAGCTCCTTCAGCTCCCTCCCCTAGTGAAGAAAATGTTTATGAACCTCCTCCTTCCGCGCCTCCCGAGGCTGATTCCTCACAACATGAGTCTCTTATGGAGAGATGTTTGCAGGAGGGTCATGAGAAAGAAGGGTTTTCTGCTTATCCTGTCATTCGGGGAGCAGGACCGCCCCGTTACGATGGCCTTGGCTTTCAAGTTTTTAAAGAACTTCGTAAAAGCATGATAGAGAATGGTTTACAGTGTTCCTTCACAAAAGGGATCGTAGAAGGTTTAGGACAGGGTTTTGAGATGACCCCCTGGGATTGGAATCTTTTAATGCGAACAGTTTTAACCCCTGCTCAATTTAGCGTATGGAGTCAAGAGTACAAGGAACATTGTAAACTTTATGCTATGGACAATCTTAACAATAACATCCCTGTTAGTCTTGACATGCTCTTGGGTGCTGGGAACTACTCCACTCCCCAAGCCCAGAGCCAGATGAATAGGCAAGCATTCAGTCAAGCCTCCGACGCTGCTGCCAAAGCCTGGAGTAAAGTCCCTGATTCCAGGACGCCCACCGGCTCATTCGCCACTATTCGTCAAGCGGCAAATGAGCCTTACATTGACTTTATCAATCGTCTCCAAATGGCCATTTCCCGACAAGTAGATAACCAACAAGCAGCTGAAGTTCTTTGTCTCCAGCTGGCTTATGAAAACGCTAATGCTGACTGTCGGGCTGTTTTAGCTCCCTTAAAGGCACAGAATATTAATCTAGCTGAAATGATTAGAGCATGTCAGAATGTTGGCACAGAAACTCATAAGGCACAGGTATTAGTGGCAGCTCTCCATCCATCCACTGCCACCTGTTTTGGGTATGGTAAAGCTGGACATTTTAAAAAGGACCGTCATAGGTTAAAAAACAAAAATGCCGACACCAAACTTCCAACCCGAAAGTATCCCCGCTGTGGTAAAGGCTTTCATTGGGCTAATATATTCTGGGTTTCTCTATGCTACAGCCCTTTCTGGAGAACGTTCTACCCATGCCTGTCATCATTTCACCCAAGCCATTGCAACTATGGGATGTCCCCAAGTACTTAAAACTGATAATGGTCCTGCATATACTTCTGCTAAATTTCAACAATTTTGTGCCACTTGGAATATTCTTCATATCACTGGCACTCCTTATAATCAAGGTCAAGCCATAATTGAACGTGCCTGTCATACTCTCAAACAGCTCTTAAATAAACAAAAGGGGGGAAATGATGTGTCTAGACTATTTGACCAAAATGAAAGACTTGCCAAAGCTCTCTTTACTTTTAACTTTTTATCAGTTGCTAAAGATGGTCGTACCACTGCAGAATGACATTTTGTCCCCCCTGACACCCGACCTCCCCCACAGGTCCTCTATAAAGATCCTCAAAGTCCCTCTGTCTGTCAAGGACCTGTAGAATTCTTAACCTGGGGGCAAGGGTATGCGGCTATTTTGTCTCCCACAGGTCCACTTTGGATTCTCGCCCGATTAGTAAAACCATATCATGACCCAGCGACAGCCACCACCCTTCCAATAGGAACCGCCACCACATCCCTCCCGTGGTGCTCCGAGCCCAGTCCCAGGTTGCCGCTGCCCAGGCTCACCGGCCCGGTCACCTGGGATGTCTCCGCCTGGGACCGCCCCGCCTGGAGGCTCTGGGCAGGTGAGAGCGGGCTCTGCGCTCCAGCCGCGACTAGGGGTCCTGGACGTGCGCAGCGCTGCGTCTCCGCCACGTGCCAGCACACTCTGCCCTGTGCTGTCACCCCTTCCCTTCTCTGAACCGCTGCCATCACCCCTTCGGTGGCCTCCATCCAACCCGACTCCAGAGAGACAACTGACACTGGCACCCCTTCCCCCAGGGATGAACACTGAAGGGCCTCCATTCGACCCGAAATCACCCCTTCCCCCGGGGATGGACACTGAACAACGGAAATCTGCAATACTGGTAACATGGGGAGGTCTGAAAGCCCTCTCCTCCAAAGCTGAGCATATCCTCTCAACTACAGGTGCCCCACTTACACCTAAAAACCTGTTTCTAGCTATGGTTTCCCTCATGACAATCAATTCTCAACAGTCATCCAATATTATCTTGTTAATCAGTAATTTGTTAATCACTAAGTCCCCAATGAAAATTTGTTATGTGTAAATTCCTCTATATTTTCTGCTTCTTCTAGATTAGATGCTTCTGTATAGATAGATTTCTAATTTAGATAATTCCTTTTCAATTGATAGTTAATTTATGTAAATCATTGTTTGTTTGATTGTTAATGAATCTTTGTGCCTTTAAGAATGTTAATCTAGTGACTATTGAGTAATAGTGTTAAACAAGGGATTGATCGGGAGAAAGCCCATTGGTCCAACAATTGGGATGTGTTCAATGTAGGGGTTTAAAAATATTTCCCTTGCGCTGACCCTGTTCCAAGTGTTTGCCCTTTAAGCTAAATTGTTGCTGCACAGTGAGTCCATTTCAACACTGCGATTCATAAGAGCCTCTCTCTAATTTAGTACCCTGGTGAAGAACCAGATGGTATCCGGTGGAAAACCAGCACCGTGAATTTAAAGAGCCTACCATGGCCGTGATCTAGGAGCCCAACTAAGTCCGGGGATTAAGTAACAACCTGGTGAAAAACCAGATGGTATCCGGTGGAAAATCAGCACTGTGAGTTTAAAGAGCCTGCCATGGCCGCCATCTAGGAGCCCAACTAAGTCCAGGTATTACTCATCGTTATGCTACTTCTCCTCCTTAAACATATAGAGTGTGCCCCAGCTGAAGCTGGGCAAAGAAGGACTCACAAAAATTCTCCACACATCAGCCAGGCCCTGATAGCCAAAATGTTCTTGACAAGAAAATTTTACTTTATCCTAACAGGTATTTGTTGGACCGGT